AAGTCTTAAATATTTGTAACAGATATATAGACGCTAATAATGTAAATAAACTAAACTAAACTAATCTGATTGAGGAACCAGGACCAACATAAACAAATAAATCATTATTGAAGATGTTTTTGTGTTTCTTTCAGGCGGGAGCTCTAAAAAAATTTTTCGAGAAAAATTTGCTTGATAGAACATAATCACATCTTTAACAACTATGCAAACAGCAAAAACGCCTTGATAAAAATAATTACTAACAGAGCTACAGTTTTGCAGGGCTTTAGAAACCACGCCGCTGGTTTTGAACTTAATTTCTACTTTTGCCGCTGATTAGGTGCAGTGTAACATCGCATAGACACCGCGTAAACGAAAATGTATTTTAACAATTTTTGTAAACCGTAAACAATCTATTTTGAACTTACAGGAGAAAACCAAAATTTATAAAAAATAAGCTAAGCATCGATTACAGGTTTGAACCAGGTCTGTAGAGCCAACTAAAGCCAACTCAGCTCCTGTTGTCAGACTTGAAGTCAACAATCAGTACGTTACTAAGAAGAAGATACGTAACGTCATAGGAACGATCCCCGGCTCAGAAGAACCTGACCGATATGTCCTGATTGGTAACCATAGAGACAGCTGGTCTTTTGGCGCCGCAGATCCTACAAGTGGAATGACAGTGCTTTTGGAAATATCGAGAATATTGGCAAAGCTCACGGAGAAGGGTTGGAGACCAAGAAGAACGATAAAGCTATGCAGTTGGGCTGCCGAGGAGTTTGGCTTGCAAGGCTCGCATGAATGGACGCATGAAAATGAGAATATGCTCAAAGAAAGAGCTGTAGCATATCTAAATACCGACGTAGCTGTAGCTGGAGGCTTTGTTTTATTGGCTCAGTCAAGCCCTATGCTGGCCGACCTTGTTTTTAACCATGCCAAGCAATTCCAAGATCCAAACAATTGCTCCAGAACACTATTTGATACCATGCTTGAACGATTGCCAAGATCGAAGGATTGCCCAGGTGAACCATATATTTACAGCTTGCTATTTCCTTCGTATTATTTTTCGTTAGCTAAATTAACAGGCCTTTCAACAGCAGATTTTAATTATTTTTTCGGGTACGGGAAAAAATGCAAGCTATATCCAGTTTATCATAACCAGTATGACAACTTCGACTGGATCAAAAAGTTTGCCGATCCAACATTTGTTTTCTTTAAAGTAATGGGGCAATTTTTGGGGGGTATGCTTATTGATTTATCAGATTCTGAGATCTTACCATTTAGTGTTTCACGATTTGCAAAACCGGTTCAGAAAAAACCGGCCTTCATTACTCTTTCGCAATCATCGTACACAAGCCTACTTAACCCTTCACAAATGGCTTATCTAGAGAAGGCAACGGAAGAGTTTGTTAACATGACGAAAAGGTTTGAGTCTGCATAACAAAAGCTAAATGGCCTGCAGATAAATCCTTTAATTTTGCGCATWTTCAATGACCAAATGTCAAAACTAGAAAAAGTGTTTTCTAATCAAAATGCCCTTAGCRGCATTCTCCTCGATCAGTTAAGTGAGTCGCAAAAACTGTTTGCAAAGTCCTACTCACCGACGGACAGAAAGCTGATTTACAAAGATAGTTTCCGTAACATAAAAAAAGTTTATTCGATGGAGAAACTTAAATCAAGTGAAAAGCGTCGTCGTCTCAAGTTTGAGATGTCTATCCTAATTCAGGCAATGAGGGACGCCGTGAAGTTGATCAAACCTTTTCCTTTAAAATTTTAAGTCCTCTAAGATAAAATAATAAATTACTAAAAAACTATAAAACTATAAAACAGATATGTTTGAAAAAATATGTAGTGCTTACACTTGATCAATAAAGAAGTATTAAACAATCATTTCTTCAAATCCTATTCATAGTGGAAGAACACAATATAAAACACATCTCATAAACTGCAAGAGAATATGAACTAAGGGAAGGAATCCTATACCTATATAGCATTGTAACCATCATGTGCACAGTTTGATGCTATTTTTAGCTTGGAGATAATTTGAGCGAAGAACCTGGTTGGTTGATTTCTTGAGGGTAGGCGGCTTCTAGTCTTGCAGTAAACAAAAGCCTGTGTTTTTATCGCTTTTCGTGTCCTAAAACGAGGCATTAAAGGAAGCATGATTATCGCGCGGGCATAGTACGTAACGAGTTAAAAATAGCATCAATGATTCTAAAAATAGCATCAAAGTGTGCACATGATGGGGCACGGGGATTCTTTCTCTTAGTTCATTTTCTCTTGCATAAAGAGATTACGTTAGTAACCGAGGAGAACCAACAGGGAGGGCATGTCAGTCCTCGATCACTACTCTTTATGATATAGAATTAACGTCGAACTTCAACTTACAGGTAAGTCTAAACTTAACTAAACAATTCTATCACATAAACCGTAACCAGCGGTTACTGTCATGAGGTGTTCAAAGCCAATGATGTTATCGCTATCGAATCTTAGTATACCCGCGAATAAAGCTGATTAAATCTAATTAATTAACGGATCACATTTTTGTAATAGAACCTTTTAAAGATATTAGCATTAGCCCAACCTGCTCTCTGAAGAATGTCATTCATTGGAACGGCAGCTTTATAAGCAGCTCTAAATACAGCATATGCCTCGTAGAATGTGGCTTAAGGTGGCTGCCTACTTTTGAACGTTCGATTTGAGCCCACGATGAGCGCGCGCTCAAAAACCGCTGAAAAATCTGCAAGATTTTATTGAAGAGCCATAAGCGTTTTGAGCTTCAACAGGGCAAAACCCTCAAATTTTGCACGGGACTCTATATTTTTTGATAGCTCATTCGAAAAAACTCCTAAAAATCTAGGTTATATCAACATTTTAGGAAAAGTTTAAATCAGGAACACGTGAAAAAATAGATTTTCATAGGGATTTTTGTTCGACTTTATGAGATTTTTTAAGAGCACCGAAACTACAAAATATGACAAATCGATGTATCTCTCTGTCTTTTTGTCGAAAATATCCATGTATTATTGTAGAA